CGCCTCCTCGCCCTGCCGCCCTGCTGCGGTGGGACGAGGTGCCCGAGGACTTCGTGGAGTGCTTCATCCTCTCGGGCTACCGGCGGCTCCACTGCTCGGCGCAGGAGTGCCTGGCCTCGGTGCTGCAGCCCACCAACGAGACCCTCAACTTCTGGACCCACTTCATCCCGCTGCTGCTCTTCCTCAGCCGCTTCGGGCGGCTGCTGCTGCTGCAGGGCGCAGGGGACGTGCCCTTCCACCACCCGGCCCTGCTGCCCCTCTGGTGCTACGCCTCAGGGGTGCTGCTCACCTTTGCCATGAGCTGCACGGCCCACCTCTTCAGCTGCCTCTCCCCACGACTCCGCGCCACCTTCTTCTACCTGGACTATGCCTCCATCAGCTACTACGGCTTTGCCAGCACCGTGGCCTACTCCTACTACCTGCTGCCAGGGCTGAGCCTGCTGGATGCTAGCGCCATGAGCCGCTACGTGCAGCAGCGGTTGGGTTGGCAGCTGGACTGCAGCCTGCCCATCGCAGCCTACCGTGCCCTGGTGCTGCCCGTGGCGCTGGCGCTGGCCGTGGGCTGCACGGCCGCCTGCTGCCGCAGCCGCGCCGCCTGCTGCGCCTACCCCTTCGCCGTGCGCACCTTTGTCTTCGCCATGCCGCTGAGCATGGCCTGCCCCATCATGCTGGAGAGCCTCCTCTTTGACCTCCGCACCCGCAACCCCACGCTCTTCATCTACTTCTACCGGCGCTACTGCTGGCTGCTGGTGGCCGCCTTCTTCAACATCAGCAAAATCCCCGAGCGGATCCATCCAGGGCTCTTTGACATCGTGGGACACAGCCACCAGCTTTTCCACATCTTCACCTTCCTCAGCATCTACGACCAGGTGCACTATGTGGAGGACGGGCTGGCCGAGTTCCTCAAGGCACCCCTGGCTGCCCCCACCTACCTGGGCACCGTGGGGTACATGCTGCTCCTGACGCTCTGCCTGGCCGTGGTCGTCAGGAGGTTCCTCAACGTCGCAGACCTCTGCAAGCAGGACTAGCTGGGCCGGCGACCCTTGGGACAGCGACCACCATACCAGTGACCCTTGGGCTGGAGACCCTCGGGCCAATGACCTTCAGACTGGCAACCCTCAGACCAGCCCCACCATGTCCTGAAGATGCTGCGAAACCTGGGGGAAACGCACCTGTGGAAGAGCCAGGTCCCTTTTGTGGAGGGTTGTCAGAGAAAATGACCATGGCAGAACTGCTCATGCTCTTTAAACTACTAGGTTACCAGGGGAAGCAAGCAAACGCTTACTGGTATGTTGCTGCTTAGAGTATAAGCTGAAATAATTTAGCTCTGCTACTAGGAAGAATGCATGAACTGTGAATGCCACTTACTACTTTCATAACAATAAGGTTTAAACTCGCTCTGTATATACGTATATATTTATATATCTAGCTATATATTTATTAGCTACATATATATGTATATATATATACACCTGAAGACACTTGTGCAATGATTACTCATAGACTTTTAATCAACTCCTGTGTGAAATTTCCTAGCAGATTATGCACTGACATTTATCTTCCTCTGTGATACTGTAACAGGCCTTTGCAGCCACATACTGGATTTTTAAATGCAAACAAATCGATAGCTAGCTATAGTTTTTAAGGTCTTGCAGCCTTTTCAGCCAGGGAACAATAGATTTATCAGAGAGAGGAAAAACAGCTGTGAATTATTACAGAATTACCAGTTGATGGAGAGACTTTAATTAGACAGGCAGTGAGTGGTTGGTGTAGCCACTCGGATACTAAAATAAAATAGAGGGATATGTAAAATAACTGAACCAGAAAGGGGTCAAACTAGTTTGGAGCGGGGGCGGGGGAGAAGAAGGGCACTGCATAATGGCATGGCTCTTCCCCCAGCACGTCAGGAACATCTGTTGTGTTAAGGGGGTTGCTAAGGGGCCCCTTTATCTTCAGCCCTTTAGAGTCAAAGTCAGATGCCAGACTTTCTATAAGCCCCTGCCAAGCTCGGTGGGAGTTCCGTGGATGTAAAGAGAGTAACTGATGCATGAGATCTCATTCTGGATCTTTTAGAGAATTACATGGAACTGGTTTCTTCTGCTCTTTAATTAGAGCACTGTCAGATTTACCATCCTAAAATTAGTTGCAGAATAAGGTAGTGCTGAACCCGAGTTCAGGACCTAAAATCTGGCTCTACAAGTACTGGATACTGGCACTTTCTCATCGTTCCCCACCTTTTCCTATTTTGATTAGTTGTGGCTGCAGCTGGGTGTTTTGAGGTCCTCTTTCAGAAGCTTTGGGGGAGTCCAAAGACAAAAATTACGAGATATTTTCCAAAGCAGTATCTTTTCACAGCAACCCAGGTATTATCCTTCTCACGCGACAAACAGCTAACTATAGATTGAACTTACCCTCCATATAAAGAGACATTTTTGCAAACTACGTGCAGATTTTAAACAGATGCATTTTGATTTTGTCTGACAGAACAAGTAACAAGTACGCAATAATATTACACAAGGGGGTTACAACTTGAGTTCAGGTGAGAAACTGCTTGTATACCCCATTTTCAAAAAGAAGGGTGGTACTTCCTTAGGAAACGCTGGTGTCATACTGCACAATAGTGCAGTGGCTCTTTGCCCCTGTTGTGGAAATACATTTCTGCTTGGGTCTTTCCCATTTTCATGGACATGGCATCTGAACCCCAAGAAAATGTTCTGAGTCCAGTCCCATAGTCTTCTGTAAGACAAAGCCCCCTTTGTTTATAACAGGAATATAGGAAGGACTATAGCGAGGGATTATGAGGTCAAATCCCTAAAATGGGTCAGAATCATCACGGAGACCAATAATTGATATGCCCTGTACCAATGTCAGCTTTGTGAAAATTTCCCTATGAAAGTTCGTAAGCTAAAAGAAAATTACACCCACTTCATTTTATCTTTTATCTCAACCCATTTTAACTATAATGGTTTGGATCTTCTAGATTCTCAGTGAATGATGAGAATGGCCTAACAAAAATTTTTATTCTTTGCCAGCCACAGTTCTGCTAGCATATAATTTGTGGTAGGGTCACATGTGGTCTCTTGAAGAGATGGCTAGAATTTTCTAAAACAGCAGTTCCCAAACTGTGACCTCTTGAGTTATCACTGATGGGCCATAAAAACCAGCACGGCCCTGTGTGGCTGTCCGTGTTCTGTTTTCATTTGCCAACCTGCATTAAAAGAAAATGAAAACTACATGAAGTATTTTTAATTTTACATATTTTCATTAACTTTTGTCATAAATATGGCATTGCTTTATTCAGCTGCCAAAAAAGCAGAACATTATCTGCACCACTGGGAGAGGAGGCTGGTTCGCAACACTGTTATGCTTTGAAATGTGCTTTATATTGTGAAAAAACCCTGGAAACTCACAATAGAAAGCAAATGGATCAAGACTTGCAACGATGCCATCCTATGAATTTCCACAACTGCAAAAAGAGGCCAAAATCTTTGAGATGTGCTGTATTCAAGTTAGAATAATAGAGGCATAGTAGTTAGAGCCCAATGACTCATCCAAGTTTCAAAACTAATTATGTAGAAAGGGTTTGCCTGGGAGATGCCACTAGCATGTCCAACCAGCAATTAAAAACTAAGAAAGAAATCAAGGCGGCCAGGGACAGCAAATCTCAGCAATAGAAGACAGCTCAGAAACAAGCAACAGTAAAAGCCAAATGTAGAAAAAGGCTTTTAAAGCATACTGTATAATGAATTATTTTTGTGCTTGTCAGTCACAATGTAGAGGACATCTCGAGGCAATGTCAAAAAAGGCTGTTGCTAACTTGTAAAAATACATTTGATATTTGCAGTTAGGCCACACAGGGTCATCTATATATATCTCAACGACAGATAACAGCATAAAGGTTGGATTGCAACCAACTGCAATTTTACTGGAATCTTACTGCTGTTACAAGAGTTGCCTATGCACCCCAGTCACGCTGCAGATTTAGTATCTGGCTCTGATATTAAGAATATTGTTTCATTTAAAAGTTTCTATTGGCAAAATGTTGAGGCACGTGTATGGGCCTGAGCACTTCATGGAGTTACTTGCAAATGCTGGTTGCAAATACTGCTCTCTGAGCCACTGTAAGCAGGAGGTGTGCATCAGGAATGAATGGGTACCGGGAGATGTGATTAGATTTTAAGAGTTCTAATTAATGTATGTTTGTTCGTTTGGCTATTTGTTTAAAATGTGGCTACAAATTCAAAAGTTACATTAAGTGTGGAGAATATCTAGGGAAATGCTACCTGAGTGTGTTTATTCAGTGAAGGGACATGTACGTAGATAATTGCTCCATTTGCCGTGTCCGATAGCCAGTCTCTGTAAATATGGACAGAACAAAACTGAGTTAAAGAGGTTAAAAGCGGAGCAAGATATCTATAATTATAGTGCTTGAATTTGCTCGCATGGAAGTGAATGTCAGCATTTGTGTGGCTTGTAAGGGAGCGGGATCTCTTTTTGGTATGAAAGCCACAGGGCTGAACATCCGTAAGCATGTCCAGAGCTTAGACAGGAGGTCTAACCTGCAGACTAGATGCATAAAGACATCCTAGAAAACAAACTTTTTTGCATAAGTACCTGTCATAATGTTTTTATTGCCTGGGTACCTGCCATAAGGTCTACACTGTGGACTCCACAGCTCATCTTTAAAACCACAAAGGCTTTTTAGGCCTTTTGTGGTAGAATCTGTGTGGGGATGGGGGACGAGGAGAGGACTGGAGCACAAGGGGATGGCCTGAAAATGCCTACGTGTCTTTCCGTCTTCGGCCAACACTGACCTTCAGACTGACATACCTGTGCCCGTGTGAACTGACTGTTGAAGGGGCCAGTTCCCAGAGTGTTGGTGCCACGGACACCCCCCCTTGCAATCAGCATGTGCCTAGAACTGCAGTCTACGCACTGGTGTATATTCAATACGCCTAGCTCCTGGGCACTTCCGAGTAACCTGTAAGCTTCAAACTCATCTTCGTGTAAGACTGATATACCTGTTCTGTAGTAATTATCCCGTACTCTGTGGCGATACACTATTTCTTCTTCTGCAGTGTATTCATTTGAACGTCACTGTCCAGGATATCTGCAGTTCTGAGCTGCCTCATTAGCGAGACTGGAGTCTGCAGTCTGGAAACAAAGGGAAAGGTTTCATCTGCATGCTGCACTTGTAGAAGTTTAGCAGTTAAAAGTAGAAACACATTGTTTTTTGCTAAAATGATAGTTTTGCTTAGTTGTCCAAGTGTTGTGCTTATTATTTATTTGCTGAATCCAGCTACTATGTTGGGTTTTTGTCAACAGTGCCCCTGCAGAAAATGACAGTATGAAAGTTTTACTTCATGTTTAAGTAAACTCTCTGAGGCAGCACATTCATAAAGTATTATTGCACTTAACTCGGTTGATTACCATCCACATGCCTTACAGAAGCAAATCATACCTGTAGTAATTGCCCAGATTATACTGTTTTTCATTGCCTATGAGAGTAAAAATGACCAAGTGGCTGGTAACAAGCTGAGGAGTCAGGCACTCCTGGGTTCTTGTCCCTGCTTTGCCGCTACCTGTTCTGTAATCTAGGGCAAGTTGTTTAAACTGTGTTCATTTTGAATGAATTTAATTCATGTAAAACACTGGAATTGTACCAGGGTTGAATTTGACCCTCTGTGTCTCAGTTTCTATATCTGTAAGATGGGGACAATATACCTTACCTACCTCGCAGGGTTGCTCTGGAGACTAGCTAATGTTTGTAAAGCACTTAAAAATGCAAAGACCCTCCTAGGTGCTAAGAAGAAATATTACTGAACTCCGGCAGAAAGAATGTTGTATTTTTCCGTAGCTCCTCATCTCACAGGGAGAGGAACATGAACGCTTCTAGATCACGAACTCTTGGGACAAACTCTCGTCATCGCCATACTCCTAGGAGGTTCACATCCTGTGTCCTTCGGAGCTGATGGCAAAATTTCCACTGGCTTCAGGCGGGGGGCAATCAAGACCTAACCAGTAGCACACAGGCTGACTCAATGCTTAAGGGTCAGGAGTAAAGAGAAAACATAAATGAGTTAAGTACTCTTCTCTTTGGAAATTCTCACTGGTGACTTCTACCGAGGGGCACTGTAATGCTGACATGAGGCCTCGTTGTTCATTTAGCCATGGATTGTGTTCCAGTTACCGTGAAACAATGGAGCAAGATTTCCCATCAGTGTCTGTAAGACTATGATTATGTCTCAGTTGCCATTGGGAATTTCAACCTACTTCAAGCTACTTCTTACCGGAGTAAAAAGATCTTAAATAAATGAAGCTTTTAAATAAACATGGGTAATCATTTGGGAACATAAAATTGTATTGATCAGACAAACACCTTTCTCTTTTCCCCTCCCGTTCCCCAAAACCAACAACATGGAGCCAATCCTATTCTTGAGCTCAAACTTGGATCTTCTTATCACATATGTGTACACTTCCTTTGCTGTGGAGCCCTGGCTAATCATCCTGCTAACCTACTCTGCCCTTCTCCTGGAAGGACTGATATAAACAGCCCCACTGAGTAGAGGACGGTGTTTTTAAGAGCTTTTCTAACTGGCAGGAGTAGTGGAGACAAAAAAAAAAGACAACAAAGACATCAAAGGGTTTGAGTGGTTCATTAAGTCAAAGCCTCTACCATTAGAAATTTGCCCTATCCGAGTATATTCCTAGCTTCTGTTAGACACCTGTAAGTCAGGGCTACACAACCAACACCCAAATTACAGCTGAGACTTTACCCTCTTCTCCTCAGATGAGATGCAAGATACTGAGGAAGTGTCACATGCACTGAAAGACACAGACCTCCATTCAAGACATTTAGTGTCTTGGAGCTGGGTGTGGAATAAAGTTAAATTATTTTCATAACTTGCTTAGACAGATGCTGCTTCATTCCACTGAATTCAGTAATAAATTAATGACCAAGACAAAGGAAGCAGGCTTTTGCTCAAAGTTCCCTGTAAGGAAACACCACCAGCAGCCTTCTGCTTTCAGGGCAATTGCTTCCTGGGCCAGACTCAGAACACGGAGGATTCTGAAGTAGGGCTTCGCTATTTCATGTGAATTACTTAGGATTTGTGGTTGTAGCTGGGGGTTAATAGTATGGAGAAACAGTTTATAGCAAGTCAATTCTGTCTGCTAGAGAGTCAAGCACGCTTTAGTAAGAGGTATTACATTTAAGGGTCTGTGCATGCAATGAACAAACTGTGTGGATTTTGTTTGGTTCTGTTGGGAGGGTTTGAAAATTTACTCTTTGTACACTTTTTGGATGCTGAATACTGTATATGTAATGACTATGCATTTTTAGAAAAAAAAGGTGTGAACTATAAATAAAGTTGATTCTGAGTACATTTTTGCAGAAATGCATTTATAAAGTTTTGTCATTTCTTAATATAAATTACTGTGACACCTGTAGGATCAGAAACGTGCTGAAGGTAGTTATCTTCAAACACAGATGTTGTTAGTGTAAGTACAGGAACTTCCAATTCTTGTATAGTAGTCTTGGTATTTCTGAAAACACCGTACCACAGCAAAAGTATTGTTGCCATTTTATTGCCTTTTATATTTTAAAGCAATAAAATAGCATCATTGCCTTTTTAGTTCTCCAATATCTATGCTAATTAATTAATGATAGGCATCCCTGTTATATTAAAATTCATTAATATGTATAAGATCAGTGTTCTGCCTACAGCGCTTACTGAAAAAATCATGAAATTGGTAGCAACAGCTATGTCAAGAATCACAGCACAATATTGACTGCAAAATGAAGAGGTCTATTTGGCATGAAATAAAGTCTCCCATTTGGCAGACTAGGAACGTTCTAAGTGGCAGAATATTGTTTTCAGTCCAAGTCAGGCACCGAAGAGCACTCAATGAACTGCAATTACATAAAGTATCTGCTTTAAGCCTTCTGTGTCAAAATTCAGCAGGACATGATGTAGCCCAACATAATTGCAGGCACCCCCTGATACTGTTAAAAGGCTGAACACAAAGGAAAACTGTAGGATCGCCTAGTTGAGGTTTGTAGAATCCCTTCAAAAGTTCTAAAATTCTTGAGAGTTCTTATTTGCAGAGTTTGTACATCCTATTTGAAATATGGTAATGACCAAGTATTTGATGAGCCCAGCAAAAACATCCATTGCCACCTCACAAACAGATGCTTCAAAAGACTACATTCTACAAATAAACACATGCTTCAAAAGACTGCATCCTACTGTTAACATTTAAGGCCTTTCATAATGTTATCAGTAGGTTCTGGCTGCTGGACACGAACACGCAGGAGGAAAACCTCACAAAACTGATGGAGCCAGTGAGGATGGCAAAATACCGAGCGGAATGGAAAGCAACAAAAGTCACTGCTAGGACAGGTAGTTCATTGAGGTCAGTACCTCAGCCTTCAGCTGAGATGGCTCCATAGTTGTTCCGATAACCAACTGGAAATCTGAAGGCAATCTACCTTTTGTTACCACGACATCAATTCTCTGACAAATGGCCCTAAAAGTCAGGACAGTGTATTTGTGGAGGAACAAAGGGACATCTGATACACAGCTTTAACCTTCAGATTTTATTCTCTCATCGTAGGATAATGTATGGTTAGTAGAATCTGTGAGTGGAGATGAAACTCATTAAAAATTAAAAAGCTGGTAAAAATGAAAAGCAAATCAGTATTAATGCTAAGGCTAAAACTTGGTTTCAGTAAGAGAGCCTCTGGGGCAGACATTTCAGATGCAGTCTCCTGCATCAGAAAGCCCTCTATTACAAGGCAGATTTCTTATCAAGAGTGGCAGTAGACTGCTGTTAATGGGGAGCTGGAAATATTTCGCTTGCTAGGGAGCACAGCCTTTGGGTATATGATATAAGCTTTACAGGAGAATGACAACGACGATATCACACAATCTTTTTGGAGAGTAAACAATTTTATAGAGTTCTCTAGTTTGAGTCTGTCCTGCCCCCCAGATCTAATCTTTTTGTGTCCCTCCTGACTGATGAAATACAAAAATATAGTTTTCCTTCATTTTTGGTGTTACGCATACTTCTCATCTATTATCCTCTGTTTGCTAGGAAACAGCTATTCTCTGTCACTCTCCTCTGTTGTTCTGAGGAATTGGGCAATGCCACTTGTACAAGAAGAGAAACCTGTTTTTTTCCCTCTTTATATGCTGGGGGCTCTGCATCCACAGTCCTGGGGCTATGGAATTCAATCACTGGCACACAGTAGTGTCCCAAAATGTCAGCTTTTCTTTTTAGCAGCACTTGGAAAGACAACTATGAAATGTCAACGGGGTGGATAACAAGCAGCAATATCTGAAGCCCTCAGAAATAATATAAATAATGAGCGAATGGTAAACAAGTCCCTGGGAGCACTTCTCTGATACCTTTGTACGCACAGGCATTCTCTCTCTTATTATCCCAAATTTAGCGAAGCTCATAAGCGCATGCTTAACTTTAATATGAATATATGTTTATCTTCGTTCATTCACAGGGGTGAACTTTTCCTCGTGTTTAAGCGTGCTATAGAAGCAGAGCCCTAATGAGCAGACAGTGCCAGGGAAATGCTGCCAGCAAGAGTCTGGCAGAGCAAATTCTGCCATTCAGCCCGAAGGCAGTGTCCTAGCTTCCGACACCGAAGACTCACATTCCCTCCTCTGCCTTAGTCTGAAAGATTTTAATACGAAACAAAGAGCAAAATACATATGTAAAAGCTAGAAATGCACCAACTTAGTCATGAAATAAAACTGCAAATTTTCCAACTGTAGCAATTACAACAACAAAACATTATTTCTTGTAGTCTGGTAGAAAACCATAGCTTGGAGTAAACCAGTTTGGAACAGTAATCAGACTCACTGAGCACTATAAAATATATTCACTAGCCAACCGGGTTAAAAATAATGTTTATTTCTGTATTATATAGACTCAAAGATTAAACACAGAAGCCAAATATTCTGTGCAGAATGCCTTTGTCACTAGCAATAGAGCATGTTCCTTCGAACTATAAGTATTCCACTCCAACAGAGGCATGCCATATCCTTTATTTTAAAGTTCAGATGTATTTTGGCTAATAAAAAATAATTTGACTTAACTGATTTCAGTGAAACATAGGGAATTGAGGGTATACATGAGTGGAAAACCTGCTCAACTGCAATATTCAGGTTGTATAATTAAGGTCACATAAAGTCACGGCTAACTCGGCACTCAGCAGCCCTAACACCTCAGAGGGAGTATACAGCCAGTGTATGTTAGGATCTGCTTCTACTGAGATGACCAGTAATCCAAAGGACATAGTGAATTGATATAATGAATGGAAAATAGTACATACCTCCATTACAGTTAAGCTGTGATGAGTATATTCCTGTAGTCAGACATAAGGCTGAATTACTTACATGGTAAATGTGTTCAGACAGCAACATTTATAAAAAAGTTGGTGGTGCCCTACGTACTTTGGCTGAGGTCTCCAGCTGTTACCAACAAGACATTTTAGAAGTCTTCCTTATTAAAGGAAAAAAAGGGAAAATTAATCTCAGAGTTGAAAAGATTTGTTGATTTCAACTTTGCAGGCAGACTTGTTACATAGATTTGCACAAAGCAAATGAACTGATGGACTTAAAAATATTATCAAGTGAAGTAATCACTGCTTTCTCTTCTGAAAGTCACAGAGACTTTCTCCAAGCAGAGTTACTGAAGACCCACAGTGAATCTGGCTGTCTCACCTTTACAGCAGATGTGGCTTGGAGCGCAAGTCCTCTGTGGAAAGTACTGGATGTTCACCTAGCAGTATCAAATGCAGTTTATTGATGCTTTTAAATAACCCCAAGGAATGTTATTCATTAGCCAAACATGCACATATAGCTAACAAATATTTATGATTTTCAGGCTCTGGAAGTGTCATGATTTCTAGCTTCAGTGTCAGGGCAGAACCGCCAGATATGTCCCAGACAGGAGTGACTTCCAGCTTATTACTCAACATTAAGCACTCTTTGTTTTAAAAGCCATTTCAGTCACCCAATATCTCATGAATGAAACAATCTGCAGCAAACAGGCTGGTAAATGAAGTCTCTAAGGTGAAAACTTCCCATGTGTACTATAATAGATTAGCGGTAGTGAGGTTCCCGTCACGAGTGATTCATGAGCTACATTCACAAACAAACACCAGACTCAGTTCTCTTCCCTTTGCATTTTGCCTGGAAGGCACAAACAGGCTGGAGAATAATTCTGGCTGGTAAAAAGCCCTCTGACCCTACTTATTCCCTAATCACATCGCTCCAGTACTGGCACAGAGGATGCAAGAGGAATGCAGAGCGGCACAGCACATCTCCTCTACGCTGCGCTAGTCCATATGTGGCACGTAGTCCCCAGTGATCCCACCAGGGTTGCCCCCACACATGAGTCAAAGCAGCCTGAGAACCCGGCAATTACAGCCTTGCCTGCTTGCTGTGCCAAGTGAACCTCAGAATAAAGAGATTCAGGCCTGCTGTTCAGAAGCAAGTTTTGCAACATTAGTCTGTGCCCAGCAGACCTGTGGAGGACACTTAGGTCAACCAGCAGGAGTTTCCTAGAGAAGGTTTGGCCTTACTCAGTTTTAAGAAAACAAACCTCAATTTTCAAATTCAGCCATCGACGCTCTGAAATCTCAGAGTTTGACTGAATCCTCATATTTCACCAGCCTGAAATGAAAAAAAGACAAAATAAATTATTCACATATATTGAAAAATGTGAGCTAATTCAGATTCATTTTTTCTTAATCTGCCCCAGTTAATGCACAGACCTGAACAGTAGCATAGTAGTGCGTGTGGAGATCAAGTGAAGTGTAGTGTAGCACAGTGTCTATTTTAAAACAAACTGGCTGCAGTGATTTTTTGGAAGCCAGCCGGCACAGTGGCGGGTCTGGCGGGCTGGCCTGGCGGCGAGGCCGGAGGCCCGGCAGCAGAGCCACCAGGAGGAGCGCGCAGACCGCTCCCGGGGTGCAGGCATGTCCCTCCAGCAAGGCCAGTGGGAACCTGTGTGGCTCCAGCAAGGACACATTTTTTCCATGGTAGCTAGCCGCTGTATTTCTCATTTGCAGCGCACAGAGAGGAGCAGAGGAGGACTCACCAGGCGCCTCCACCCACTGCCTGTTTTCCCTGGACGCTGCACAGCCGGTAAAAGCGCTGCCCTTCGTGGCTCCCCTCCACCGGGCACCTCTACTGCCCCCAGGGCTTATTTGGAAGGGATGCCCCATCCATATAATGCTTTAAGAGAGAAGCTGGCACAGACAGCCTGACGGTCTGGCAAAAATAATGCCTTAGAGGCAGCTGCTTGCTGATATAATCCCATATGAAAAGAAAAACTGTTTTGGAGGGGATGACGCTGCCCTCTTAGGTATTCCTGGAACTTAAACCGAGCGTGAGTCAGTCAGAGCGAAAGTATGCATCTTGCCATGTTGACTTTTTATTTAAACATATTGACTAAAATAAGTTCATTTGTTCTGTTTCCTTTACCATATACATACCACAGCAGATACAGATTAACATACCTATTAGACTTACATACCAGTTTAAAACTAATGTGTGCTAAACAAGCAAAGAAACAAAACAGGCAATAGGTCAAAAAAATTTCTGAAACTACCTCCTTATGCAGGATTTCATCCTCCAGTACCTGGAAGGCTGCAAGGCCGAGCATTTGAAAGTCATCAGTTCAGAAATAGCTCCTTCCTGGCCCAGAACTTTCTGTGAGGATTTCTCAGGACAAATTCAGGGCAAGTGAGCGGGACCGGCCCTGGTAAAGCCCAAGTTAGCCATGAGGCACGCACCTGGCTGGCACGACGCCATGGCCACCCTGCCATAGCCGACCTGTCGCCTACTGGATGTGAACGGCTTTTTTATTCTGCCACTCAGTTTTCAGACTGGTCCATGTTAGTACAGCCTACCTACCATATTCCCAGCTAATGTCAAACAATGCACATATATTTCATGCTATAGTTTTCAACACCTAAAGCATTAAAAAGTACTTTCTGAAATATTGCAGTCCTCTTTTTGGCTCTAACATTGAAATGTCAATTAAAGTATTGTAACAGTGCTATGATTCAATCCCTGCTAGCTAGTTAACTAGCCTTTTCCCCCTCCTTCAACTGCAGAGTATACATATTGTCCCCTGCTCATAGTTTCCCACTTGAGCAGGAGCGGTTGGACTAGCTATGCTGTTTGTAAAGCAGAGCTGACACTCGTCCCTCCTGCTCAGTGACAGACACAGATACTAGCTCTTGGCTTGCCATGACCTTCGAGCTCTCCTGGAGAGCTCCGATTCATTTTGGCCAGCGACACGTCACTCCCAACCTGCAGCCAAATATCACGCGGCACCTCTGAGACAGCCGTGCTTTCCTGTCCGCTATTCATCCTTCGAATAAGCCTGTTCTGAGCACAGGCACAAGCCAGAGCTGCCCTGAGGCTGTCAGATGATCTCCACAGCCCTCGTCGAAGCTGGGATATGAGCGAGCCTGGTCCACTCCTTTCTCATTAACACTGACATATGGGAAAGTATTTTACAGTACGAGCTCCTGTGCAAGCTGCCCAATGACCCCTACATCTTGGCACAAGCTGTGCAAGTCAGCAGCCTCACTGCATGGATGCAGATCTAGCATCTCATCAAAGTGTTTCCGAATTTCTTTACTATGCTGTTTTCTTCCTTTCAAAAATGGTTTCCCCAGCCGTTTATTTGTTCACACTTTCTAACCTAACTTCACTATCTCATCACCTTCTCTTCACAAATTTGAAGCCTGAAGCCGTATTTCTTTGGTTCTGACTCCTTCAGGGCAAGCTGAGCTCTGACAACTGCCTCGAATGTGGGTGGAAGTTCTCCAGGAAAAACCAAGGTGGAGCAGATAGCAAGACTGTCCATGATGTACACAGGGCGCTTCTCCCTGTGTCAGTGCCGTACTGATGCCCTGCCTGAGTCTTGTTAACATTGTGTAGCTACGCGTACTGCTGTCACGCAGATAGGACATACAACTGACTTCCTAACTACCTGTGGCCTTTCGATAGTCTTCTCTTCCTGTCTTACACCATTGGTTGTATTAGCACTAAAGAAGAGTAAATAACTCTACATCGCACCTGAGGCACGGTCAAAATGCGGCCACATGCAATCATGCCTGTACATTCAGTTGAATCCAATAGTAACATAATGATCAACGTATTCTGACGTACCATTGAAAACTGAATGTACTTATTTCCTCACACAGTCTATCTATAGGTAAAGCTTTTCTGGATATTTCAGACACATTATATAAACAGTCTACACACAACCTGTCTACATACAAAATAACCTTGAGAGTGACATTCTAGACTCTGAAGAATTTGCTTTGGTGATAGCAAGATTTATTGTCTTTTCTCATAAGATTTTGTTCTTAGGCTATCAGTCATCATTTCTTTGTCGACAGATTTTGCGTATCTCAACATGACTGATTGACTTGCAAGTCTGACCAATGAGAATCCGGAGGCCTGACCGTATTTTCCGGTAACAACTGCAGGGATTTACTCTCAACTAAGACTGTAAGAAATGTTCTGCAGTACAAGCCCCATCTTTTATGCTCAATGTCAAACGTAACAGGCTTCTAATAATAGAGCCACCACAATCTGTCCAGCTATTCCAGCCCTGGATCTGCCACAGGAAGCGTCTCATTAGATTATAGCTAATGCAGTAAACAGTGACTTAATGCAGCGAACGGTGACTCTTTCTAGTGACATGGTAAGAACAGAAAGGTTTCACATGTTGGGGAGTTTTCTCATCTACAACACTCTTCTAGAGGATTTAGCAGGGTGAGTTTCAGTGAAATATTTACCATTCCTTTTACACAAATTACCACAGCATGCACTGAACTCCGGGGTTTTCATAAAGTCCTTTGTAAGTAGGAAGGACAGCCATCTACAGGGTATGCTGATGCTAAGTCTCGAATTTCAGACCTCACTTTGTGCATTCAAAGATTTTTATTTTATGGTGGGAACATAATGGAAGAAATAGGAAAGTAATGGGGAAATATAACTTTCCCCACATTATCCCTTAACTCAAAGAATTTTCTTGAAAATTCCCACATTCCCTTAAATTACTTTCATGTAAGTAGAGTCAGAAGTATCAGTTGCTTTGGGACTAGCTGTTAACAAAATAAAATAAAATAGTTTTAAGCTGTTGCTTGGCTTTGACTACTGCAGGTAATATTCCAGACTAATTCTCTGGTCCAGCTGGCATTACAGTGCACTGTTCTCACCAGTGCTCGTTTGAACAGTTATCCTAAGCCTACACAGAATTCGTGTGACACCACAGACTTATGGGAGGAAAAAAATTGATGCAGAGGTGCCGGGCTTCATGGCTCCCCAAGCTGTACGCAAAACCTTCAGCCTCCCATATCCTGCAGCTGCACAGCCACAGCTCTCAAAGGATGCCAGCCTCATGCTTTCTGCTGTGCAGCCCCACCATCCCAGCCTTATATCCTCTACCACCCGGAAAGCAAGCTGAGGCAACGAGACAGGTGAAGCCCAGCATCCCGAAGCCACAGCCCACAGTCAGGAGCAGAGCTGGACAGTATTAGGAAGTCATGGTTGAAAACCCCGATCAGGAACCCAACGACAAGCAGCTACAAACCAAACCTGCAGAACTGCAGAGAGTTTTACCTCCACACCACCTGCACATCAGAGACCTGGGCCAGGAGAGGAGTGTGTTTCCTGTGAGCACCTGGCCAGTGACAGCCAGTCTGAAGGATGCCTTAACCTCAGCTAGGCAGCGGCTCACTACACTCATTGCCCAAGGCCAGGTGCCCCTTAGCCCAAAGTCTGTTTCCTGGGCTGGGCTGGGTTTTGTGGAAGGTGCTACGGCGCACACCGCAGAGCAGCGAGAGGAACAGAGAAATGCTGCTTCCTCCAAAAATACATACGTCCGCTATACTTGCTCACTGCGTTTCTGTACATATTGTAATGTTTGCAATTAGCTTTTTCCACATTCCAAATTGCAAAAGTAAAATGCACTATATTCAGAATAGATGTATACAGTTGTGCCTCCATTTCTTCTCTGTAACACTGGGTAAATTGTGCGCCCCTGCCTCAAGGAATTTAGTAAGGTAGTGGAGAGGCATTGGAGCATATTCGAAAGACACCAGTTAGAGTTGTGTGCCAGCTTCACACTGAATTTCAATAGGAATGTGGTGCTGGAAAAATGTGTTAGCATCTAGTTTTATGACCCCTGCAATTGCCTCAGTCTCTCTGACAGAATTTGTGATTTCTTCCTAAAGAAAGGGGCCTGAGATGCTGCCCTGCCCCACACAGGAAAGATGCCAGCAGATTCAGTAATTCTGCATTTTCTTGCTATGGCTTTAGAAGTATTAACACTTTTTAATTTGTGGTAATAATCTGAGTTTTGTTCATCTTTAGCTCAGAATCTGGATGGACATATTGCTATACTCTGTAAGCTGTTTTTCCTGGTTGATGTATTTCCACCACAAATCTCCTTTTGTCTAAATCTTAATACAGATTCTGCACCAATTTTTACTTGCTCACCTGTTATATCAGCTACATATACCAGGTTCAATGCAGTTCTTGCTGCTCAGTCATTCTCCTCCCATCTGCCAGAGCTTATGTAATATTTAACTCCTCAACTTTTGAGTATTCATCACAATATCACTTGGTGGATTCTTGCTGACAGCTGCTTGTTCTTTCATAGTTTTTACATAAGACGGATAGATGCAGAAATCTGCTGTGTCCCTTCCATCTCCGAGTTTCAAGACAGAGACTTCTCTGCTTTTACAGCAGCTTTTCTTCAAAATTTTCTTTGAAAATATTTTATCTGAAAAT